GTAATGTTCACCATAATGCTTCTAACTTTATGGTGAAGTTTATACTTGTTCTAAACCTCACGTTATAGTGTTTTCCTATTTGTAGAAAATTTTTATGTATCGACAACTATATTATGATCATCTTCAAGCATGTCCTACGAATGTTCATATTGAGACATGAAGAAACTATATAATTTGTTCCTCCACCTCAAAAATTGTTCATCATCTCCATTAAATACAAATGATTTAGTTAAAAACGAATGAGTTCCACATTTTTTATTTTTAGTGGGTTTAGAGGAAGGCTCGGGATGATAGTCATGTTTTTCTTAAATATTGTTTACTCCTACACGATTAAGTGTTCAAATAATATATCAGGCTCTAGTGCCAACTGAAGGTGAAAAAACAAAAGAAAGGGGTTGAATTGTGTTGGTTTTAAAATATTTTATATTCTTACGGACACAATATATTATAGAGGAAAGTAGGTAGAATAAGAAAGAGATCCACACACATAATTATTAGTAGTTCACCTTGTTAAAATAAGTTATTCTAGTGCATTCACACTTGAGATATTTCCACTACAATCAAACCTGATCACACATTGTCACTAAGACAAACTATTTTTATATTTCCTTACTTCACACTAGAAGAATTCCTTGGCTTAAACCATTAAGGAGTTACTTACCTCAAATTATAGAACTTTAAAAGATTGCAGAGGTGTTTTCTTACAACAACTCACATAGAGCGGTAAGCTCAATAGCTTGGTTATAAGTGTTTAACTTTCTAAAGAAAGAAAAATGAATATAAAAGCACTTGTGTCTAAGTGTTTGTTTTTTTCTTTTAATTTTATAAATATTTGCAAAACTTATAAATGATCCAAAGTGTTATTTAGTAGTTTAAAAGTCTTGTAAAGTGGTAACGTTCAACATGCAAATTTGATTCTTTTACATAGGCCTTGGATATTTATTTGTTAGATCATTTCTCCTTGTCAATTATTTTTTATTTGAAATGGAGTCGTTGAAATTGTGTTATATGCACATAACTTTATCCTTCCATTTCTTGTACTGACACAATTGTCATTATGTGACCATTGAGAGAACATTCTCCGTGGTGACTCAACATAACATGCCTTTACTCATCTAGGCACATGTGACCAATTTTGCATATGGGAATAGGTAGTTAATTCTTCATCTTGGCACAAGTACTAGTCATTTCTTCATTTGGTCACATGTGTTGAGTACATATGATCATGTCATGGTTGTCATGAGGTATTTATGGTCAACCCTATTGAGTTTCACACAAAATGATCATTTTCTTTTAAGACCTTAATTTTCTATCTGGGGGTAGATGATTTATCCTGTTTCTCGCGTAGCTGATAAAAATTGTTCTACACATGGAAACAAATACATTAGAGTATCCATTGCTCTTAATTATACTCTTATCATAAAAAACCCATAATTAGAGGTTATTGTTCTTTAAACCATTTTGATAAAAAATCTCGTCATTTTTTCTTTATCAAGAAAACCACATCTTCTTTCACCTTACTCCTTATATATGTAGATGATCTAATTATTGCATGGAATTATATGGAATAATTTAATCACCTTAAAACTATTCTACATGATTCATTTAAGATATAAGTATTCAGCCAACTTAAATATTTCTCTGGAATTGAATTTCCCACTCCAATCGGGCATCTCTTCATATTAAAGAAAATATTGTCTAGACCTTCTATCTGATGTAAGCCTTCTAGGATTTAAGCCAAACTCAACATTTTTCGATCCTTCTTCAAAATCACACTATGATGAGAGCATTCCATCACACAAAATATTAGTTGGCAGGTTATTCTATCACACCACATGAGAGTATTTCATTACTCAACAAAGTCAATTCCTATTTAATCATGCAATTGCTAATTTTCATTCTACTACAAGAGTCTTATGATATCTCAAGAATTGTCCAAATCATGGTTTGTTTTTTCTTATAGATTCACCAATCCATTTTCTAAGTTTCTTTGATGTTGATTAGGCAGGGTGTGCTACTCCCAAAAGATCCTCATGACAATGCTTCTTTGTTGGCAAGTCTTTGATATTTTGGAGAACAAAGAAACAATTCATAATGCCAAGATCATCCTCTGAGATAAAGTATTGTGCATTAGTTATTGAAACTTGTGAATTACAATGACTGTTGTATTTGATCAAAGATTTACAAATTTGGTACATTAAGCTACATGTCATATACTATGACAACCTAAATGCTCTACATATAACAACAAATCATATTTGTTATGAAAGAACAAAACCCTTAAAAATAAATTGTCATCTTGTTAGATATAAGCTAAAAGCTAATATCAGATATTACCATTATATTTTAAACATCGCCTATCATATTTTTCAAGTCTCTTCTTTCCCTAACCATTATACATTTTGTTATCGAAATTCAAAATGATAGACGTCTATCTTGCGCCAACTTCTAAGGGGATATAACACCACGAGAATCAAGACGATGGTAATCCATCTCCTCATGGTTAGAGTTAATTATTATGTTTGTATTGAAAATGTTTATAGGTTACTTCTCTAAGAAGTTAATTAGTTAATTAACAAGTTCATTAGTAACTATTTAGTTTATCATCATGCTAACCTATCATAAGTTATATTGTATGTTCATTTTATAATATAAATATAACATGTACTTCTAATATTTATTAATGAAGTGAATAACTTTCATTCATTTTCACTAATTTATAATATGACTCAAGAAAATAGAAGAGTGTTAAAAACACGAGCAAAAGATATGACCATGAATTGCAAATAAGGATCATAAATCAAAGCAAAGTAGTAAACCATGAGTATAAGCTAAGTCATGATAAAGACTAGTCAACCACAAGAAAAAATCACAACCAAACGAGTAATAACTAACAACAAGAGAAAGTTTAGATCGTAACTAGACTTATACTATATCACAAGATGTTTTGATAATTTCTACCTTTTTATTTTTCATTTAAATAGTAGTAATATCATTTACAAGTAGTTACAACTCAATATGTCAAATAGTTGAGTTAGAATCACACATCATAAATGTGGAGAGATAAGAAATCTCAAATCGGACTCCCTCCTCACTAAATGTTCATGCAATCGTCAACTGAATTATAATCAAATATTCTAATGCCTAAATATATATAATTAAGAAGTCAAATTAACTCATAATTCACAAATATTATATAGTCTTTTTTGTTATCATATTCTAAGAATGTATATCTATACCATTAAAACCACTCATTAATTCGAGATTTTCTATTCTAAAAGACATAGTCAAATAAAGTTAAAACTTTATATTATCGGATACAATGTTTATTTTTCTTTTCTAACTTGATAATTAAAAATTGATTAAAAATAGACCTTTATTTAACAAAATTACAAATATGATTGCATGTTAATGATAGATTATTAAAAAATATAGATTTGAATTTTGACTAAAATAATTAATAATTAGATTTTATTTCAATCTCAATCAAACTTTAAATTAACAAACTCTTTTTCATAATAACTAAAATATTATACATAACATTTTTTAATGAATTAATTAAGAAATTATACATAATTAACAAATCCTACCAATAAAAAAATTACAAATTCATATTTAAGCCACAATTAATACAAAAAAGATAAACTTTCACATTGGTTTAAAATTATTTACCATAGCTTATGAAGTCTTAAAACAATAAAAAATCCAAAACATAAATATTAAAGTTTTATTTTTGGTAAAAGACAGACAAATGTGTTGTGCCAACAAATCATTAACAAAAAATCATTAAAATAACATGAAGATTGCACAGATCTTTGAATCTACATACTCATAACATGCACTCATGACATGTCGGTAATAATTCATTTTTATTACAATTTTTTTATAATTAAAAAACAAAAAAAGCCAAAAAAGAAAATGTTAGAAAAACCAATAAGCATGCTCTATCATTCATCACCCTTTTCACATTCTTCTTCTTCCTCTCACACAGATCTTCATCTCTTGCCTTTCACTTTCTCTCTCTCAATTTACTTTCTCAAGTGAAACTGTTTCTGGGTTTTGCTTGGATCCTTCAAAAGACTCAAACTTTACACTCCGGTGTTCAAAATGTGGATCTTGTAAAAGCTTATTGATTTGTTCAAGAAATTATATAAAAAAAGTCATTTTTTTCAGCTTCTGGTTGTTCCACTTTTTCCTCTCTCATTGGAGAAGCTTAAAGGTGAAGTAGCTTTTTAGTTGGTTTGAAAAATTGTTGCTTTACATAACATTGAAAAATGGGGACTTTTGAGTTGAGTTGAGTTGCATTTCTTTGGTAGTTAAAGTGATTAAGTTGACTTTGAAAATAGAGAAGTTTGAAGGAAAAAAATGAATAGATGCTAATGCTAAGATGCTAGTAGGTATAGGATATATGATATGTATGAAGTTATGAATCTTGAGCATGTGTGTTTATTATGTTTTACACTTTTGAATATTTGGAGGAATGCAAGTAAGTACTACATCTTTAAGTTTAATGTTGTTTAGCTTTAAATGCTAAGATGCTAGTAGTTAGGTTGTCATAACTCTTAAGTAAGTAGTAGCAATCTAAATAAGGGTTGTTTTTGTCATTAGATTTGGTTGTGAGAATATGTGATTAACTAAAAAAGTGCTTTTAGATTCTGTGTTTTTGTTTATTGTTGATTGTTTTTTCTGCTACTTTTTAACTTGTTCTAGGTTCATGATGCTTGTTGATAAATAGTTTGCATTGAGATCAAAATGGTTGATGCTAGCTTTGTAGCTTACCCTTTTATAGATTAACTTTGATGAAGGTTGTGAATTTTGATGTGATTAAGATTGTGGTTTTGTGATTCGAACATGTTACAGATAGTAAAGCTTTGGTATCGAGTTATTAGAGGCGGATATGAAGGTCTCTTTTGTGAGTTCATAAGTTTGATAAAGCGGCGTCTTTCAAAGTGGAAGAGGTTTTATTGTTACTTTTGCGCGTTTGATATTAGTACATAGAAATGGGGATTCAATGCTCGAGATTTTTCCCGTGTTGTGTGAATTCGCAAGTTAAAGCATCTGTTCTTGAAACTCCGGATGCTGGTAGGTATATTTATTTTTTAGTGTTTTATAATGTTCTTGGTGTTTGATATGGAATTATGATTTATGTTTTATTTTGATATTTGTTTCAGAAAATGATGATGGTGAGGTTAGTAACTGGCCTATATTCCGTGAATTTACACTTGAGCAACTTAAGAACGCGACGTCTGGTTTTGCTGTCGAGAATATTGTATCTGAGCATGGAGAGAAGGCTCCTAATGTTGTCTATAAAGGGAAGCTGGAGAATCAAATGAGAATTGCTGTTAAACGGTTTAATAGAAGCGCTTGGCCTGATACACGACAGTTTGTGGTAAATGTTCCTTCTTACCCATGATTTGTTCAACCACTCTCTAGGTTTAAGGTCTTGTTTGGATAAACAGCTTAATTAAGTGTTTATATCGTAAGTGTTTATCATATTAGTGTTTATATGCATAAGCTATTTTTATAACAAAAGATATCATAAATTCAAATTACTATAAGTTGTTTTGACCTTACATAAATAAGCTGAAAACAACTTATCTATTGCTCGAGATTATCATATTTCAATGGCTAAGTTTCGTTATCACTATGAAGCTAGCGGTGCATCCAGTGGTGCTAGGCCTAGGACACCTTCCTTTTCATCTTTCTTTTCACTTTCAATTGAACGACATAATTTTCTTTCACGACCGCAGGAGGAAGCAAGAGCAGTTGGTCAGCTTCGTAACCAAAGATTGGCAAACTTGCTTGGATGTTGTTGTGAAGGAGATGATAGGTTGCTTGTCGCCGAATATATGCCAAATGAAACACTTGCAAAGCACCTTTTTCATTGTAAGTGCTAAATATTTTATGGGACTCTATTTAACCACAATGTGATATATATTTTACGAGACCCTACTTAGCCACGGTTTAACTGTGATAAATTTTGGGCCATGTGCGGTAGCCCGCCCTCAAAGACGGCCCTTACCATGAGATCATGTTAAAGCGATGGTTTATATACATTAGTCAGACCCTTGAGTTTATGTGTATTCATGATGTAATCATGTCTCTAAATCAGGGGAATCACAACCTATGAAATGGGCGATGCGACTAAGGGTTGTTCTACATCTTGCACAAGCTCTAGAGTACTGCACAAGCAAAGGACGTGCTCTCTATCACGACCTCAACGCGTATAGAGTTCTCTTTGACGAGGTGAGATTTTGTTTCTACCCTTTTATACTCTCGTCTAAATTACTAGAATGATATAAAATCATGTTAGAATTTCGCAGGACGGTAATCCTAGGCTATCTACTTTTGGACTTATGAAAAATAGCAGGGACGGGAAGAGTTATAGCACCAATTTGGCATTTACTCCTCCAGAGTATCTCAGAACTGGTATCAAGTTTTGTCCGTACATATTTTATAAGATTTGAGCGACACATGGTGTCTTATATATCGTCTATTTTCTGTAGGGAGAGTAACACCCGAAAGTGTAATATACAGCTTTGGCACTCTTTTGCTTGACCTTCTTAGCGGAAAGCATATCCCCCCGAGTCATGTAAGTCGTTCTTGTAGGGCTCGAAGTTAACACTTAAAAGTAATATATTTTTCTACTATATATGAACTTGCATATCATTTACTTTTTGCTTTTGACATGGTGTAAACTTGATACAGGCCCTCGACTTGATTCGGGACAGAAATCTTCAGATGCTGACAGATTCTTGTCTGGAAGGACAATTTTCTGATAACGATGGAACTGAGCTTGTACGCTTGGCATCTCGATGTTTGCAATATGAACCTAGAGAAAGGCCTAATCCAAAATCATTGGTGTCTGCTTTGGCTTCTCTTCAGAAAGAAACTGAGGTTGGCTCATTATTGCTTTTGACACTTCAGATAGATGACGTGTTTGGTATCAGACACATATCAGTGTTAGAAACCGACACCACACTGACACATTAGAAACCGACGCCACACTGACACATGTGCGTGTTTGGTATCAGACACATATCAGTGTTAGAAACCGACGCCACACTGACACATGTGTTTACATTCAATCACTTTCGTGTTACTTGATTCCTTTTGTTGTAACAAATTTTATAAATACTTGTTTATTTCTAGGTTCCTTCACATGTGTTGATGGGTATACCACATAGCACCAGCTTTGCTTCATTATCTCCACTTGGCGAGGCATGTTCGAGAAAGGACTTGACCGCCATACACGAAGTTCTGGATAATCTTGGTTATAAAGATGATGAAGGAGTGGCGAATGAGGTTCTATATTTAAATCGAAGAACTTTTACATAAAAAATTTCAATTTTGTTTTTGAAAAGATTGTAACTTGTGTATTCTCTTTTCTGGTATTGCAGTTATCATTCCAGATGTGGACTGATCAAATGCAGGACACGTTGAATTGCAAGAAAAAGGGCGACGCCGCTTTCCGACAGAAAGAATTTAGAGAAGCGATCGAGTGCTACACACAGGTAGAGTTCTTATTCTGATATGTTCGATTAATCTAAATATTGCTTACTTTTTTTTGGTTTCTAACATGTTGATCATTGTGTTTATCTGCAGTTCATCGATGCTGGAACGATGGTTTCTCCAACAGTCTATGCACGACGCAGTTTGTGTTATCTTATAAGCGACATGGCTCAGGAAGCGCTGAACGACGCAATGCAAGCGCAGGTTGTTTCACCGGTATGGCACATTGCATCTTATCTTCAATCAGTTTCACTTGCAACAGTTGGAATGGAGAATGAAGCACAAGCAGCACTTAAAGAAGGAACAACACTTGAGTCGAAGCGGAATGCAACTTCGAAACAAAAGTGAAGACTTTGTACAGAGACAAATACTTGATGATTGTGTCTTGCATGATGATGATTACAACAATATTTGATTATAAATTTCATCTATAATAGATTCACCTCAAAGAAATTGCATGTTTTTTTTAAGACTTTTCTCAAGAAACAATGATTGGATGAATGTTGTTGGCAACACCCCCTCCCCCTTTTTTGTTGGGTCGGCTAGGATGTTCATTTTAGTTCTATGATGATTTGATTTGGTTGGTTGATTGAGCATGAATGAAAATATCAAATTTTTGTTTTTAATATATGAAAGTTTAAAATGTGAAGAGTGAATGTATTTTTTGTGTTGGAATGTCAAGGAAGAGTAGATTTTTCTTAAGTGCAAATATTTTCTCATATCATGTGCTATAATAGATGTAAGCATGCATCTTCCTTTTCAATTTGCCAAAGTAATTTCTCATCATCAATTCTTACACAACTTTTCAACAAGAACAATCGTAGTATCAATATTTCTACTAAAGATCTGGCCAAACCTTCCCTAAAATATGATCATCTTTTCAATAATGTTCTGCTGGAGAACTAGGTGAGCGGTGAAATCCGGTCTTAGTACGTTGGAGCAAACTTATATAGCGATAGAGAGGAGATTGACGTGCAAGGTTCTTGACTTGCAAGGTTAATACTTAAATGTCCAAGTCAGTACAAGGTTATTGACTTGCAAGGTTAATACTTAAATGCCCAAGTAAGTGAGAGAAAGAGAAGTGATGTAAGAGTGTGAATGAATTTAAATACCTGAAAATGATGTGCTTTCTTTATTATATAATAAGAGCAGTTAAAATTGTCAACAGAGAGTGCGGTATACGGTGGGCTTTTCGTTTTTAGCCTTGTAAAAAGTCCAGAACAATGATAATATAAGGGTGGTGTTCACTATACCTCATGTAGTGATCACACACCCTATAGTAACCCTAAAATGCCCTTCATAGATACTTCGGATTCCAATCTTCCAGCGCGCCTATTATTCAACTAAATCACTTCATGACCAAGTCACCCCATTTTTTGTCACAATTTGCCCGAATTACAATCTCCGTATCACAGGTCCGAATTTCAATTTCTAAATTCACCCTATGACAATGTTTTTCACCCTTTGACAGTAGTTTGATAAAATTTGACTTTTTTTTTTTATAAACTTGAATTATAAGTCATTTATAAATCAATCCAAGTAAGATATATCAAAATAGAATAACTACTGCGTATATATAAATGCCAAAATGTCAAATACAATAGGTTATAATGTCATAATCAATTTAAGTACAAACCATAATACAAAGTTATCAAAATATACAAAATAAAATTCTACTACTGAGTATATCCTCCTTTGTCGTTAGTACTACAACGCATTTCGTGTCTCTATTGAGATGTTCTGCAAAGTGGCCATCTGAGGGTGTCATCCACAAACTCACCCCTAGCCATGATTTTTCTGACAATAGCCACAATGCAGTGACATGCAGGTCAACAATATGGTCACCCCTTGCCTGCTCGTCTTCTTAGATCTCCTAATGAGCTGTTCTCTAGGGATCCCCCTTTGCATCTGGCGTAATGAAAGGATATGACATTCTATAAAACTATTAGATGTAATTGTATATTATACTCCATGGACGAGGAACTAACACATATCGTACATCCTCTAGCATCAGATGACCAAAGTACGCTGCAAAGATCTCATCAACATCCTTGAAGTGGACAGTGGCAGAAGCAACAACATTGGGGTCTTTGCGTATCCCCTGGATATATCCAGACTGGCATAGGACTCGCACAAGTATATGGGGGTACATAAGTCGAGACTCGTAAACCAACCATATAGAGTACAATGTCATCAGTTTTAAAGGTCATGTCTCACAGTGATCGTCATTCAACATCCAGTTAGTATCATTTGCCACGATGCAGTCAAGAGAAACTCGGAACGACTCGGTCGCACGATTCCCTTTGAACGGGATGGTCGAGCATGTACGTGGCAAGATCTCAGAGTAGTCATCCACATATGCCCAGCCTGTGAGATGTGAAAAATACTAGTGTATCCATGCCTGAAAATGATTCAGATGAAATATTAGTAACATAATAGTGTAGCATAGGTGTCATGCCTCGAAAAATGAGAACGACCTCGCAATGCGCAATGGTACGCTCGCGGGATGAACTTAACAGAGCCGCCACCGATCTTTATTTATTCCCATAGAGGGAAAAGGAAAATATCGAATAAAACCCCCCAAAAGAAAGACAAGGATATGGTCATCGCAACGAATACCTGAGTTTGGGAGTCGGTTACGCAAGGGGAATGTATTAGCACCCTCTCACATCTGTTGTACTCAACAGGAACCGTTTAGTTAGGGTTGAATTAATGTTAGCTTAAGGTTAGTTTTTAATCTTCTATTTATAGAGTGGGAAAAGAGAGAGAAGGTAAATGTTTTTTATTATATTAAAGAGAAAGAAACTAAAAAGGTTTTTATTATTAGGGTGCTCGCCAAGACTTCGTAATCTCGTGCCTACGTATTCTCATAGTGCAATAAGGAAATCAAAGCAATCGTAGTTCGGAGACTACGGGTGAGAAAATGTCTCGATCGTACGGGGGGTGAGAGAAAAGTTTGATTAGTTGTTAATGGGATTGCAAGTGGAAAGAAAAGGATAATAAGATTCATACCAAACAAGCATATGGCAAAGAGTCAACATAGACGTTCTCTTTCCCTTGGATTGAGATCACAAGTGTCAACAACAAATGAAATCAACAACACATGGCAAAACATCATGTGAATCAAGCATAAAATGAAACAAAATACACATGACAAAACATCATGTGAATCAAGAATGAAATGAAACAAAATCATGTGAATCACGCATGAAAATAAACAAAACACATGTGGCAAAACATCATGTGAATTAGTAAGCAACATGGTAAAACATCATATAATTATCAAGCATCAACAACAAATAAAATCAACAACACATGACAAAGCATCATGGTTATCAAGGTAAGACCCAAACAACACACAACATTATCAATCAAGACATGCTCATGGCAAAGACAAGATAATCTCAACATATGAACATCAAAAGGAACATGAGACATGCATCCATCATTAAACATTTGAAATAATCATGTACTTATTAGGTCAACAATACAATCAACAAAAAGTTTTAAACATTAGACATTTGAAACAAAGATGAACACAATCATGGACATCATAATCAACAATAAGATCAAACAAAGTACACTAATTAATTAATCAAAGTGTTTAAATAAAGATAAACGTATATCCAAAATAAATAAATGGAACACCCTAATAAATAAATAAAAGAGCATAAACATTTTTTATATTTTTAAATATAAAAAATAATTAATTAATTCACAAGAACAAAAATAAAAAGGTTTCTTTTGATTTTGTTAAGATTTAAACAAAATGAATAATTAGATAATATAATTAAATATTTTTTATTTTTAAGGTGAGAAATAAAATAAGAAGTATAAATAAATGATTAGAAAATATTTTTTTTTGAAAATATTAAGATATCAAATAAATGATTAATATATATATATATATATATATATATATATATATATATATATATATATATATATATATATATATATATATATATATATATATATATATATATATATATATATATATATATATATATATATATATATATATATATATATATATATATATATATATATATATATATATATATATATATATATATATATATATATATATATATATATATATATATATATATATATATATATATATATATATATATATATATATATATATATATATATATATATATATATATATATATATATATATATATATATTTGGTATTTTAAAATTGATGTAAGAAATAAATAAAAAAGGAGATAAAATAAAAAAGAAATAAAGAAAATAGAAGGAAAAGAGAGAAAGAGAACACAATGGTGAAAAAGAAAGAAAAAATAGTAAAGAAGGTCTCAAAGGGTTTTGGAAACAAACATGTAAAACACTCTCTTTCCACTACGCCAAGACTAACTTGCCAATCAATAGATGCATCCAATAATATATATAAAATAAAAATATTTTAAAAAATGGTTTCTTACTATTATTAACTCCATCTTTTTCAAAAAATTGTAACTTTTTCATTTTTGAACCAAACGCAACATGTGAATATAACAATTTGATCAGAGTTTCACGAGGAATATGAATATGGCAATAGTTTTTATTTATATTAACTATAGTTCACGAATTTAATCAAAAACCAGAAGAACTATAAAATTTCTAAATAAAATTAAATGACATACATGAACAATCAATGAACAAGGGTTTAGCGGTTTTATTCCTCACATCATGGCAAGCATTGTGGTATCAAGAAATGATTAAAATGATGTCCCTATCATATAGTTCTAGAAATGAAAAAATTACCTATTGGAGTGTGTCCAATGCACCTTATAATCCACTTAAAATGATGATGTGATGATGCCTACAACTTCCATGTTTACTTTTCCTTAAGACCTTCCAAATCGTTCTGTCCAAATCCACTTGCAAATGAGAAAAGTGTGGTGTCGTTATGGAGTTTGAGGTGTTATGACTTGATTCTAATGGATACAGTTGCTTTTGTGATGTTTATGGGAGATTTTTGCAGTGGTAAAGTGGAAGGAAGATGGAAAAATGATGAGTTTGGAAGTTTTTGCTTTTGGACAACAATGGTGTTTTGATATTTTTATGCAATGAGTTTCTGAGGTTTTAGGGTTTCTTGTTGTGTTTTTATGATCAATGAGGACTTCTCTTTATAGCTAATTGATGTAGAATAGGATCAATGGTTAATGGTATTGTTTGATGAGTTTTTTTTTATCAAAACTAAAAAGTTGATAAAAGGTGCAAAAGGTGTTTTGCTTTAATAGCTTCTAAGTTGACATTATCTCACCATGTTTCTCAACATGTACCAACTAGTTCTAATGTTTAGACCAGTTGCTTGACTTGTGGAAGGAGGTTTGCTTGATTAAAGTAACTTTTCATGCAATGCCGAATACAACTTCAAGGTAGCATGTTGGATTAAGTTGTTAACCCTTGTATAAAGATTAATTTTCCATGGATTTGGTATCAAACTGAAGATTTCATGGAAAGGAACAAGTTTTCAGTTGATCACAATCTGAAAAGGTACTTGAAAAGTGCCCAAAAAGTGTCTCCAATTCGTGTGACCAAACTGAGATATAACTTAGTGAAATTCTGGTTTGATTTGGACTTTGTTCATCATGATGAAACCTCTACTTCGGTCATCCATATCTTTCAATTGGTAAAAAAAAATGGATCAATTTTTCCACCGAGATAAAGTATGAAATCTGATCTTCAATTGCAGCCCTCAAGCATCAAAAGTGGTGGCTTGAATTATTCACAAAGAATCCACAAAGTCATACACTTGACAAGGTTAAAAACATAGAAAAAATTTTAAGTGTTTTGGATTTTCACACAACTTGAAACCATAACTTTGAACATCAATTTCTTCCATTTCAAGAAAGCTTTTGACTTGTAATTTTCATCAATTTGTAGTATCAAAAGCCATCTTTAAGTGGAGCCCTCAATTGTTTCAATGGATGCTTGAGAAATAAGTTATAACTTTAGAAAGTTGATCACTTGGTCATGCATTTTTATACTTAGAAAAATTCTAAGATCTTCAAATTTGATAACTTTGATCTTTTTTTGTGATTTTCTTGATTAATCATGATCCCAGTTCAATTATTTCCCATATTCTCATAATTATTGACTTGATAAAATCATGTTTGACCAAAAATGTCAAAAGTCAAACTTTGACTTTGAGCAACTGTTGACTTTGTATCAGATGAATTCAAATATTGCAATTGCCAATGAATCAAACTTCTTGAGCTAGTTGGATCTTGTGAGTGGAATTCAAAGGTGAAAATGAGGGTCTTGAGTCATGTTCCAAAGCATGAGATCGTGTTATGGTCAAAAAGCCAATATCAAGTTGACTTTGACCAAAATCCTAATTTGGTGCATTTGAGGAAGTGAGACTTGATGATCTTGAATTAATGCAATCTCAAACTTGATTGTTGATTAAGGGAAACTCTTGATCCATGAATGAGTGGAATAATTGAGATGTTGATGATCATACCAAGCCTTGATTGATCAACCACTTGGACTTTTTGATGCTATGCAAATGATGCAAATAATAATGATGAGATCTTAGGGGTAAAAATTAGGGTATGCCAATAGGCATTATGACGTTAATATCAGTATAGGTGCAAAAAAACCATAAACAGACAATTTTTTCCATTCAACTTCCGAATCTTCCACATATTACCATTAGTTGGTTTTGATTAAAGGTACACCAAACAAGAAACCCCCTAGTTATACTCGTGGATCCTCTCAGAATCAATAAATTATCTAAGGTAGATAACAACTAAATAGGTCGTACTTTTTCATAAAAATGGATTTGTCGATCAAAACTAAGTGGTATGCCCTCAATGCGCATGCTCTGTGGTATGCAAACCTATAATCATCACCACCAACCTCCACAGTTGCAGTCAGGTGGTGCTCATACAGATCCACTAAGAAATAGAACTTAATATGACATCCTTAAGTGTCATCTAATTCATGATGAGTTTTTCCAGGGTCAACTTCCAAATAAGTCACCATCATCTCCAGTGCCTCAGGTTTGGTGGTCCTTAAGTAGTTTAATAATTTTTCCTGGATGGAAAGATGAAGAGTGCGACATCATCAAGTTTAATGGATGTTCCACCTATCGGAAGATGAAATGACAACGTCTCTACATGTTATCTCTCCACAAAAGCAAACAATAAGCCATGGTTAATATAAATATATCCAGTCCAACATAAATCCTACAACCATGACTCATCAGGTTGCGTCAGCCTCACAACATTTGTATTGTGGCTGATACACTTTAACGTATCATAATATTGCAAAAATAAATAAATTGTTATACATTTAAAATATAACACAAATGTTTAAAAGAATACTTACAATATTTATAGTACCTCTTCGTCTCATATGTTCCTAACCGCATGGTCTGGATACAGAGAAAGAATTAAAGGTCTGGGAGGCTTACTGGAAAACCCTTTGGGGCAGAAAGGGCTTTTAGAGCAATAGTGAATAGATGAATCTAGGAGGACGATGTCAGAGACCTATGAACATGTGAAGACGATTTTTCACCAGTAAAAAAAGTATCTCCAACAACAGGTCGTGATGGTCTAGCCTTTTTTCTGCAAGCAAAAACATGAAGGTGAGAAAATACTTAGAAGGGGGGTTGAATAAGTATGAAGATTAAAACTTAGAAATAAAAACTCAAGTATTTTTATCCTGGTTTGTTGAACTCAACTACTCCAGTCCACCCTTCCTAAAGTGATTTGCCTTTCTCAATCAAGGACTTAATCCACTATTTAATCAACTGATTACAATAGTAAGCACTAAGAACAACTGTTCAAAGTCTTCTCAAGAACTACTGATCCTAACTGGATCTTCTTAAGGTTTACAATCAAATATAATATAAATACAAGTGTTTAAATTGCTTCTAAAAAGCTTTATCACAATTGTGATTTTTCACTTAAATATTAAGAACAAAGAAATTAATTCTTAGAAAGAATATGAATAGTATGAGAGCTTTGAATGTTGATTTCTTTCAGATAAAACGTCAACTGAAGAAGATGGGTGAAGACTTGCTTTTATAGGCAGCTGATCCAAGGTGAGCTTCACGTTGAGAAGAATGTCCAAAAGGTCTGAGTCTTTTTGTCTTCACATCAAGTGACCTTTCCTAGAAGAAGAAAGCACAAATAAATCCTTTTTGTTTGTGTTCTTGTGTCTAGCATAAATAAGGAAAGAGTCGTTTGGATCATTCCAACGGATATAATCTTTGAATAATTCTTCTTCAATTTTCAGCAAATTTCATCAGAGTCTAATTTGATCAGAGCCTTCTGATGTTGATCAGAGATTTGCTCAATCAGAGTCTTCTGCAGCAGGTGTGTTTTTAGCGTGTTTAAGATCAGAGCATATTTGAGTCAGATCCTCAGTACTGGCAGTTTTAGTACTTTCAGAATCTTCTGTAGTAACTATGCTTTGAAAACTCTTCATACAGAATTCTTCTTTGGTTCAGATGCTTCTGACTTGCTTCAGATTCTTCTGGAGCTTCTGCTTCAGATCCTTCTAGAGCTTCTGCTTTAGAATCTTCTGGAGGCTACGCTCAGGATCTTCTGTTGGCAGCAATCAGAATCTTCTAATGGATGCATCTGGCGCTTCAGAGTCTAGCAAATTTCTTATGTTCAATTCTGATTTGCTTCTGGAGTGTTAATTCCTTTACTATCTGCAGTAAAAACTCTCAAGCAAATTTTAGAGTATATAATTCTTAAATACAAAATTTCATAATAGTTATCATCAAAACATAGAGATATTATTAAGAACCAATATGTGTTCTAACAAAACATGTTGGGACACTGTACCATGTCTCGATCTTTTCTGGTTGTCAGACATTTTTCTGCAATCATACAAGCACAACAGAGATGTGTTATAACATGAATATAAACAAGAAGTCGAACCCAAAATAAGACAACACATGAATTTGAATTCCAATCTTCGGCCTAAGGATCCGAATTACATGTGAAGTAGAACTGGCGAAGGCAGAACCGAGCATGCGAACCATATAACCCATAATGCTCAAAAACCTAATGCATAGTAGTTCAAGACAAACACAACTAGCAATTATATTGCATTTAAGCCTGAATTATCATACATATAATCTATTTCAATAATGCATGGGAAATCAAAAAGGAAAAGAGAATGAGAAACTTACCAATGCAATGGAGAGGACCTTCAAATAAGTGTAATGCAATGAAGTTAAGCTTCAAAACAATGGATAGAAGTTATGACAAGACTTGAAAATGAAAAGAAATTGCTCTATAATTGCTTTTGACTACTCTTCCATCGTATTCTAAGTTTTTGCTCTTTTGTAGAAATGAAATGTGAAAGGAGAGTGAAATGTGAAAGGAGAGGGAAAGGCGCGAGTTACTTAAACATAAGCGTCCAAATTCCAATCTCCAAATTACATACAGACTCTAAAAAAAGCTAGAGTAGTTTGAAAGTTGCGGTTTTAGTTCCATTTTGAATATTATTTTTTTTAGGTGTGTTCGGATTTCAATATTCAAATATGCTTAACAGTGTTATTTGAGAGTTATTTTCAATCTTTATAATTCGTTTGTGTTTTAATTGTGTTCAGATTTTAATCTCTAAAAATAAAAATTATTGGAATATGCATGAGTAACACATGAGCAGCCTTGAGTAAACCCCTAATATAAAGGCCTCTATAATCACAATCAAAGGTTATTGGTACAGTTTGATTTTGATTAACAGGTAGATTTGCCAAAAATGACAAGGCTTTATGTTGCTTTTGGCATTTCTTTTTAGGTTATCAACATATTTCCACTAAAAGTTACAATATACTACCATACTAGTGAATATGGAATGGGATGATCGTTTGGCCTTTTTAATCGCACAAAAGTTATATATTAGTACATGTGACCTATGCTACCCTTGTATACTAAACTCAAAGTTTGCATATATATTATGCAGTTCCATTAGAGAAAAACCAATTTATATTAACAGCATTTAAAAGCTTGAATTTGAGTGATGCATAAGCTTATTTGATGTGCAAAACAAAATAACATGTCAATTACATATAAAAGGAAAACTCAGGAAAGGGAAACAACACATATGCAGATAGGCATTAGCCAAATACATGATCATGATATTATTGTCTCATTACATTGGTTCTGCTGATAAGTCACAATCAAGATAGTTGATACATTTTACACATTCTCAGCATCTAGTCTATTGAACCATTCCATTAGATTGAAGACTTTCACAATGTTCACATGGCTAAAAGAAAACCTTGGTTGAATAATATTCCTGTACATGACCACGAATTTACGGATGATCCTTGTTACTGTTCAGTTTCTCTAAGGGCTTTTCTTTAGATTCTGTTTTTGATCCCAAAATATAGTCTTTCACAGTGCTCTTTGCTGAAAGTATCTGCTTTTTAATCTGCTAATAAGAAATCAGACTATCAGATCTAAGAAAAAGAAATAGCAGAAGAAAAAAACAATTCCCATAGGCTTCTGTTAGATGACATGAAAATGTCTTTGTATTAACTCCTGATTTTACTTTCTTATCCTTGAGTATCGTAGAATTTGGGCTAGACCTAATTCAATTCCATAAACTAACTCGAGGGGCGAGGAAAGCTCAAACTTTATAATATAACTGGCAATATCTCATGCTATTGTGCTCTCTCTCAACACATCCCATTATCCAACTTCCAAGACACGGCAATTCGTGTGTCGAAAAGTGCGGATAACCCAAAAACAAATCAATTATAGATTCTAATACCATCTTAAAAATTTGACAGTCCTAAGCTCTTAAACTAGTGTTTTGGGGATCGAGTTGGGCCTAACCCGACTCTAAGATGGTTTGTGAGCCTATCATAGATATGCTATTGGGCCACTTGTTGTTCGCCATGCTCCAAATACTCAGTACAAGGCATGGCATGGAGGGATTTGTTAAGATCCTGCATCAACTATGGATATGACCAAAGTAGTCCTTACAACGTTCAGACAACACTAAACCATTAAGCTAAAATTTGGGGTTGAGTTAGCTTGAGTAACGATCCTCCACTACCAAGGTTTTTGGTATCTAAAGGCTTATATATTTAGAAATGTTGACATGTATTGTGTATTATTAGACATTTATCCACACATCAATAATGGAGTCCTCTATTTCTTTTGACATATGGAGAGGATCCTTATCCTTTTAGCTGCTATTCATCTCAGCAAACACAATTTCCATACTTCACACAGCATGCACTCAGCTTCCATGGTTACTTTTTCCAAAGCTTTCAATTTCTTACAAGAGTTACAGCAAAGTTAATGTGTCTGAGGACCCACCATTTGCAGCTAACTATTTGGGACGAGTTGCTCGTGGACTCACCGGTGGCATTTTCGTGGGGATATGATTACTCAAATTACCGAGTATCTCCAGTTGGAGGTAAGAATAAGATTGATATGGAGTCCCTTATTCACTAAGGGATGATTGCTGCTTCTAGTAACACCTACTGGGTGATGATCTTTAACCCGTAATCCTTGCACTACCCGACCCGGGCAGAGCAAGTATTGCCGATCAAAACAACTGGTTGTATGCAGGGGCCGACCAGCTTCAGGATTTGTCCGACGAAAAGGACGGCCAAAATGCTGATAATTTTGCTGCAGGTACCACCATGGAAGAAGATTTTACCTTCCAACAGCAATTTGTACCTCCACATAAGCTTTGGTGAAAGGCTGATTTTCATGAACGGAAGCGATTGAAGATTCAATTTCATCTTAGTACCTGTAATGTCTAAACTTTGTATTTTGTTTTCATTGAATATTATGAGTAGCTAAACCCCCAATGTTATTGGGTGTCCCTGATTTAGATTTGTAATAACTATGATTACCTATTTGCAATAACAATATGTTTCTTATAATTAAATTATTCTCTTGATGTTTGTAATGCTGTCTCTTTCGGAAAAACTGAGATTGATGTATGATTAACAACTAGGTTGGACCGCCGTTGGTAATACTTTTATGAGAGTATGCTATGGTAGATATCTCCTAAGACTAGGGTTACCCTATAGTTACCAGATAATTCTTGATATAATAACGCTTAATTTCATCAGTAATTACTGTAAGAATTGGCGTTCATTATGTAAAATATGTTGTTGCAATGACGATTCATAGTTGTTACAAGAAAGAATCATACATTTTCCTTAGCATGATACTCATATCTGTCAAAACCGTTTAATTATCTCTTTATTTTATTCGCAATTATTTTTATAAATTAGCAAAAGAAATCTCAACTCTAGTTTTTGTTTGATTGAACGACAATTAGAACTCAACTCATTATTGATACGTAGTCCTTGAGATCAACATTCAGAAAAATCTCCTCATTATTACTACAAATGCTAAAATAATACACTTGCTATTTTACCGATCAAGTTTTTATAAATCATCTCTTGTTATTCCTTCATTAATCAATTTTGTGGAAAAAAATACTGCGAGTAGAGTTGGTATATCCTTTAACTATTTTCATATATTTTCATCCAGGTTCAGTTCTCTTTGAACCGCGAACACCAAAGGTTAGGGGGTTTTCGGATTTTCAAACAATCTAACACTACATAGAGTAGAAAATAAAATAAACACAAACCACTTTAAAAAAGGAGAAAAATATAGCAGCTGCAGATATAAAAGAATTTTTTTTTGAAGAGTACCAAAAAGTTACTTATGAAGAGAAAAGTAATAGAGAGAAGAAAAAAAGTCAATTGCGTGAGAAGAGAATAGAAAAAGAGGGAGAAGAAGAAAAGTCTGAAGAATGGAAAGTTTATCAGCTTGCTAAATGAAGAGGTTATAGTGTTTGTTTTATAAATATTTAATTAGGGTAGTGATTAGTATTTAATGAAAGTTATTAGTATTCAACCACAATTATAATTCTTTTAGACGTGTTTACGGGTAGGGTAAAAAAAATACCCAAGCAAGAATTATTCATATTTAGAAAAATAAAACAACAATTTCCTTAATACCGCCATGAGGGTTAAACTCATGAAGGTCGCCATGGCGCCATAATACAAAATCCGCAACGCCACAGCTTTTCCATTGCGCGAGGTTGAATATTCGCAATAGCGCCACCATTGTCGCAATTGGACAGCACTGGTTGCGGCATTGTTAAAATAAGGGAGGGTAGGTTAAAAGCTTAAAAGTTTTAGAAACTCTAACACTAACACTCATTCACTGCATGGCATTAGATTAACATTTTATTTTTTTTACTGTTAATTGATATTGAAGATCAGTAGTTGCCCAAGAGTTACAGCTTAAGTCTCTTTGAGGATTGCTTATTCTCACTTCCAAGGTTAAAAATAATACAACCCATATTGCTTTCCTTTAATTCCAGCCAACTTTCCCCCTCCACATGCAGGTTTCTCACTTCCGAAGCTTTTTTTTCTTCACAAAGTAGGGTCTTAAACAGCTACGTGAGTTAATGGATGCTACAATGTTCGATACTAAACACGTATATGGTTGCAAAGACGAAATCATTGATCCAATTAAGAACCAAACATGTCAAAATCTACAAATCCTAACTTAAACCAAAATCAATTCTATTTGGAGACATCCAAACATGTAAAAATCAACCTAACCCTAATTTCAAACAAACATTCATGAAGAACGAGAAGTTTAAATCAGAAAATCCAATTAAAATGAAGAGAAGAAAGAAAAAGAGAAACTTACGGGGTCAAGAGCATTAGGTTGAGGGCCATAATCAGCAGTTAAGAGAAAATAAGAGGCAGTAATAGTTGCGGCAATGGTTAATCTCCTCACAAGCTTGTCGGTTTTTGGATTGATTAAACTCATGCTTTGTAATGTAACCTAACTATGAATTTGATCTTCAACCACTGCTCTGAGTTCTGGTTTATTGATCGATTGTGTGTGCGACGAGGCGTTGGAGGGATTGGTTGAGGTTATGGATGCAATAGTTCCTGTTCGGTTGTTTTTGTTAGGACTATTTAGATAATCCAAAAAAGTATTAGCAATTGTGATGTAATATTAATATTTTTAAAAATAAATATATTTTTATTTTAATATATGATAAAAATATATTTTACTTGATCGCATTCTAGCATTTAAACGATGCTTGTATGCTCACGCATGAGAGGCTTAGTTGTTTGTTTGTATTGTGGTAGAATAGATAAAACATCATCCATTTATGAAAAGGTTTTGGTCGCGCTAAAGTGGAAAAAGATAAGTTTGATTGGTTAAGATTATTCTTAAGTGGATGACGAGTATTTAAATATCAAGCTAATTACAGGTAGCATTCAAATACTCGGGGAATAAGATGGATATTACGTCCAAATAATCCCTTTTCATCCAAGTTAATTATGAAATTTGTAAGGAGAATTAAGTTATAAGTTCTTAACGAAAGACAAGTATTCGAACAATAAGCTAATTACGACTAGCATTCAAATACTTGGGGAAGAGGATGGATAATTACGTCCAACTTATCCATTTTCATCGAATAAGGACCGAACTAAATTCAATTAATTATTGTGTTTTGAATGGAAGACGATTATTCAAATGGTAAGCTAATTACGGCTAACATTCAAATATTTGGGAAAATAATGGATATTACGTTCAACTAATCATTTTTCATCCGCTTTATTATGAAAAAGATTTCAAAGTGTTTTTGATTAAGTGGGAAAATAAAGAGACTTAATGTTGATCAAGTATTTGATTGATTAAAATGTTTAAAAAAGAAATATTTTTGCTTTTGTCTTGATCAATAATACGGTGAAAGAATAAAAACAAATGGGGTGCAAACAATTAAAAAGAGGGCTAAACAAGTAGAAACAAAGGGCTCAAGGCTCATGATCATAACATAAAAACAACAAAAACTTAGGGGGTGCAATGCTGAAAATAGGAGTTAAAAGAATAATACAGAGAAATGAGCTTAAGGCCCAAAAACTAAAACAAACAAAAACAAATGGGTTGCCAAAAACAAGTTGGAGGTGCAAACCAGTAAAAAGACTTTGGGCTTAAGCAAAGAGAGGCCTAAAAACTTTTTTAAAAAGGATAAACAAAAGGAAAAGCACGTGGCCCCCTAATTGAAAACATGTGTGTTGCACCCTAAAATTTGACCAACCGGTCCCCATATCTGGTTTATGTTTCGACGCATTTTGCATTCGCATTCGCATACTGCATGCATCACATGTTTCTCAGTCAGATCGATTTTATTGGGATTGCAGCCCCTGGCGTTTCAGGCAGCTCAAGCCGGTTTGAATAAGCGTACTTTGAGAATTGGCGCTCGTTTCCTGTGTTTTCAGGCCATCTCGGTACCCGGGTTTCGCTATGGTTGCGCAATTATTCTCCAATTCGATTTAATCGGCTTCATGGCATTTTTAGGATTTTTCTTTTATTTTTCTGGATTTTTAATGCATTTAAATGGATTTTTCTGGATTTAATAGATTTTTTTTATAATTTTTAGAGTTTTAAATAAATTTTCTTTTCTTTTTTAGAGATTTATTAGATTTTAAGTTTTTTAGATATTATTTTCCTTTTAATAGGTTTTTAAAAAATAGATATAAATAGATATTATCGTTTCTTAAATGAGAATAGATTTTTAAAAAATAGATATTAATGTTTTTAGATGTTATTAGATTTTAATTGTGTTTTTTCAAAATTAATAGAATAGTTTTTTAAAAAAAAAAGAGGATTAATTGTTTTAGTTTTTTTAGAGTTTATTTGATTTTTTTCAGATTAATTAGGTTTTTTTAATAATTTTTAGATATTTTTTCTGATTAATTAGGTTTTATTTTTTAATTTTCGTTTTTAGGCTTTAATTAGGGTTAATGATAGATTTTAATTAGGTTTTATTTTAATTTTCGTATTAGGTTTAATTAGGATTTTTTTTTTAGTATTAATTTTGTTTAATCTTTCACTTTAGTCCACTAATCAGAGTTTAAATGCAGTTAATCATGTTTTAATCAGCTAATCTGAGTCATTATCCATTGGGCCAATATCCATTAATCAGGCCCAGTCAAAGTCCAAGTGCCACTTGGCAGTATAAAGGCGTTGCCACGCGTGTGTTGTTGGGTTCCGCCACCTCATTCGTTCATTCACTGCATGCCAGCCACGTACCATAGCCTCAGGCCACGCGTCCTCTTCTCCCTCACCCTCTGCGCCACCTGCTCCCTTCGCCGGAATCCTCATCGGCCGGCATGCAACTGCCGGCGGCCACCCTAACCACTCGCCGACGTTCACCCTAACCGTCTCCGGCCGTCCTAACCATCACCGGACCACCGCAACTTCACCGGAAACACCATTTTTCCAGAAATCTTCATCCACCTCGCCAATCTTCATCTTCCTCGATCATGTTCATCATCAATAATCATCAACCATGAAGTGATTTCCAGAATTCCTCACATGTTCTTCACAATCATTTTCCAGAATTTCTGTTTTCATCAAGCTTATTCAATATCTTTCTAGAAGAATTGCATGAATCTTCATCAATATTTCCAGAAGGCGTCAAGAACATCATATGTTCATCAACCGTTCCCAGAATCATGAAGTACTCGTGTGGTGTTCATCTTTTCTCCAGATCCTTCGGTGTTCATCCGAGCCTCAAACGATCATCAACACCTCCAGAATTTCACCACATTCAACAGATTTTTCTTCCACGTCAAGATCCAAACGCAAATTATCCTCCTTTCGTTTAACAACCTGCATCGTTCTTCATCTCCAGAAAGTTCTTCAAGAACATCATCCAGCCAGATCCATCCGTTCATCACAAAAGCTTTGTCGCCGCCGTAGATCTTCAAGCGCAAAAAAAAAGAAGGATCTCTTCAGAAGTGGATCCGTCAAGTTCTCCGCAAGCTTTGCTCGTCAGTATTTCAAGAACCTTTATAGCCTCATCGCCATCCAGGTTCCTATTCTGAATCTATCCTTTCTCGTATCTTTCTTGTTGTTAGTTGAGGATTTAGGTTAGTGGAGTGTTAGCGAGGTTTGAGTGGAACGAGTTTAAGTTGTGGTTGATGTTTGATAGGCGCTTTGTGGTGAGGGATTTGGGAGCAGAGATCGTGAAGGTGAGAGGGTTTCAGAGAGAGAGAGTTTAGGAGAAACGGCGCTAGGGTTTCAGGTTTGGGAACGATGAACAGTATCAATGAAGGGTTAGGAGGAGTAGTTTTGTCTGGCTGAGATTGTGAATGAGTGGGATCGGGCATTAGGCCCAGTTCAGATTGCTGATCCATACTCCCCTATTTTCCATAAGCACCCCCTTCCCTGGCGTGAAATTCTGGTTTGGGCCTAGCAGATCTGCTATTCGTACCCCCCATTTGAGGCCCAAACGTGAATAACAAGCATTTCGTCGCTAGCTGCACCCGCGTTTTTTTTTTTTTTTTAGTTTTCTTTTGTGTTTGTTTTCTGAAGTAGACTGGGCCCAACGCGTGCTACCAGCACCCCCCCCCCTCCTGGGCCCAATGTGTTTCTGAAGTAGGATAATTGCTGTTGACACCCCCCTGTTTTCCCAATTTTAATTGAATTTCTTTTTCTTTCACTTTGCATATAGTTTACAAAATAATTCATATTAAACCCAAAAATAATCATTTTGACATGGGATTTTTTTCCCTCATTTTAATAATTGTCTCAAGAAATTTGTAGAAAAATAAAGTTAGTATTTTAATCATCTTTTTCATTTATGGTGAATTTTCAAACTTAATTGCTTTTTATTTTCATTTTGTTTGTACATATTATTTGGTGAATTTTGTTTAGTCATTTAAATTCATATTTTGATTCCATTCTTTTTGTACTAGATAGATTAGAACATTAGGTCTCCTTAGAGGTTTATTCCACATTTTTGTGGATTAATCTTGATTAGTTTTGAGTAGAGAACATTAGGGTGATAGTATTAGGGTTCAAACTCAACATAGGTGCATTATAACATTTTATTTTGGGGTTTTTAGCATGTTTTAGGTTATGGGACATATAGGGTATGTAGGGTAGATGTAGAAATTCCCTTAGAATTAATCCTAGAATTTTAAATACTATATTACTATTTTTAGTATATTTTACAAATGGAGTGTTTGTTTGGTGTGCCCACTTGGGGTTTATGTTTGCTTGCTTGGGTTTTTTGGGCTTTTATTTGGGGTGTGGGGTTTGGTTTGAGCTTGTGGAGCATGAAGACATTAAAAGAGAATATTGAAGATGATAATCAACTATTGAAGCTTGAAGATTGTTTGAGCTGGGAGTTGATTGAAGACATAGGAAATAATAGGAATAAGCAGAGCCTTAGAATAGACTGAATTTCTTCATAAACATGGATAGCCTCCTTTGCTTCCATTCTTCTCTATGACATAAAGTCCCTCTATGGTATTCACCTCCCTCCTTTGGAGGGATAAGTGGCCTTACCTTAGAGGTAGAACTTTGAGAGAACCACTCTTCTATAATGTTAAACTGTTTATAGGCTTCCTTTGGTAGTCAATGAACTGTTTAACATTCAACTCATCTTGTTAAGTGACTATCATCTAGGAGAGCTTGCCTTGAAGAAAGAAGCCATTGAAGATAGAGATGAAGATCAAAGATTGACAAAGATGAGGATTATTCATGTCAAAATTGTGCAGTTGTTGAAGCTAGGGTTTATTGCTGTTTGGAGCTATCTGCTGTCTGATGTTGTCAACTGGTTAAGATTCTGTGCCTGCTTGAGCTTGGTGATTTCTTGGAGATGGAAGCTTGTTGTAGCTTGGGTACCATTGGAGTTTGACTTTGGGGTTCATTGAAATATTGTTGTTAATCAACTGTCAGAATTTGTTGTTTTTCAGAGTTGCTGCTGTAAGAGCTGAGGGAGCTGTCAGAGCTGGTGTTTG